ATATTTTTAAAACTATAATAAAAATAGTAAATTTCAGTATCAAATATTTACATGAAATAGTTATTTATAGTATTGATAATATAAATATTGGTTATTTAATTAAATAAAATTTGCTTTTTAATTGCATACTAATACCTATTAGTGCTTACTCTAAGAGGCCTGGAATTCATGCTAATACCAACTTGTATAATCAATACACACAGTTTAAGTTTAATATATTTTATTGTTAAGCTAGAAAAATTAAAATAAAATATATTATATGAAGCAAAAAAATTCAACAAAAATAATAAATAATTTATGTAAAAATGGTTTTTATAAAAAAAATTAGTGGAGATTAGGTTAATATCTTCCTTCCTAAAATAAAGTATTGATATATGCTTACAGTTATTCAGCATAGAGGAGGAGGATGTAAAGAATTAGGTTAATGTAACATGAAAACCTCTTTAATGCAAGAATCTACGATCTTTAATTAATGAAATGAAATCATGCTATAAATCATTTGCTGATCTAAAAATGTTAAACTAATGTTTTAACTAATAAAAAAATATAATAGTGTTTAATAAAAATAAAAAAATGATTATTATTTGTATCATTAAACCTTCGTTATTCATAATTAGAAGAAAAATTCATTCAAATTTATTTTTTTTATCTAAGCTATAATGTGTTAATAAGATCAGTTTTCAATCAACGAACAATTAATTTAAAAAGAAATTGTTGATTGATTGAAAACAGACCTTAAAATTAATTAATTTCGTATAATTATTAAATAGTTGTAAAGAAAACAGATTATACATAAGTTATATATATATATAGTTTTATTTTATACGTCTATAACAAAACAATAGATATTGATTCAGCTATTGTTTACAAAAGAGAATTCGAAATAAATGTATTACACTTGCATGCTATAAAATGTCATTGTCCTATTTAAACATATACATTTGTTGAAGAATGTTTGGAAAATGAGTAAATAATAGATAGGATATTTACTTTCGTGCATTTGTCTATTTATAGGCTAAACCTATGCTTTTCAATATACTTTTCTTATAAGTTATCATTTAAATTATATTATTTTGATATTTGCTATAAATAATATAAAAACAAATATTGGTTATTTTTAAAATGTTTTTTATGTATAATAATTTTGAAGATTATGCTAATTACTCATGCAATTTATATTATAAATAGGGACCGCTTGGCTCCTCTGGTTACGCTACGAATTATAATATCCGTTATCACTAAATCACTAATGAATTGTCATTAGTGATTAAGTGATAACGGATATTATAATTCGTAGCGTAACCAGGGGAGCCAAGCGGCCCGAGTCCCCTTACTTTTTTAAATAAACGAAGAAAGAAAAAATTCCATCCTAACGATTACAAAACGGGATTTTTAAAAATCATTTGAACATCTATTATGATTAGTCTGACTTGTTTTTGTTCTAGAAACTAGAAGCATATGTTTTGATGCAGAAAATCATAAATTTTCGTTTCCTCTAACATTTGTTTAGGAATTTCAATAAAATATGAATGTTTGTATTAGAGCGATAGAAAAAAAATATTGACTTTATGTATTATTCAAAAATGTGTAGCCAGGAATTAAGTTTCCCATTAGCTAACAAATAAACTTGAATTACAGTAGTTATATAAGTACAGGGTGATTCAAAACTCACAGAAATTTTAACAAATTAATAACTCACAAACTACGAGTATTTACAGTAAGATGATGCGGTTTTCATAGAAATGCTTAGAAAGAAGCGAGATTTTTTTAGGTGTAATAAAAATTTTAGTACCAAAGTAGTTACATTTCTTGCCATAGATGGCGCTGTAAAAAACTGAAATCATTTGTAAATTTGTTAAAATAAGAATAAAAAAATAAAAATTTTCTTAGCACTGAAATTAACTATATGCATTCTTTTCCATTGAATAATTGCTGAAATTTACCTTAGTTACATAATATGAAAATACAAATGTTCTCTGAATATTATTTNCTAAAAAAAATCTCGCTTCTTTCTAAGCATTTTTGTAAAAACTGCATCATCTTACTGTAAATAGTTTGTGAGTTATTAATTTTTTTAAATTTCTATGACTTTTGAATCACCTTTATATGTTATTATATTAACATAAATGTCAAAATAGCGAAAAAATTTGAAATTGTCAACTACAAAATCACAAAAAAATTTGTATCAGTATTATATTAAAAGTGACAAAAAATTCAATTTTAAATTTTTATTAAAGTTATTATTATTGCTATTTTGGGGACATTAATTTTCCTTGGCTACACTAACAGTTTTTTTTTACTAACAGTAGTACAGTTTTTTTTACACTAACAGTAGTACAGTTTTTTTTACACTAACAGTAGTACAGTTTTTTTTACTTTCTCCGTCCTATAAGCACTAACTTGTGTCTTTTTTTAACAAACGCATTATGGGTTTGGCTAGGTTTGCAATGGGGGCCAGGACTGGACATATCCGGACGGATTGCCCCCCGAAAAATTCCTTTGTTTTTTTCGACCTGTCGGGATTCGATCACGGGTCCAAAATAGTTTTTATTCTTATTCACAATCAGTTAAAATAAAAATGCTTCGTTTCCGCATCACCAAGAACAAGAAAGAAATATTAGAAACAATCGTCGAGAAAAAAATCTGTTTCTGTTCTGTATCCACTAGTTTTGTCTTTTATGTTGGGCGAGAGCTACTTAGGCTATGGTGCCCCATGGTAAGTTGCAACGTGACGTAGTTAGTAATTATATATTTGTTGTTATACGCGGGGAACAGGGAATAATGTCTTTCACGAGGTCTTTTAAGGGTAACTGGACCCTATTCAAGCGTTATAGACGTGGAGAAAACCCGGAAAATTCCACGTGGTCAGCCTGTCCGGGCGAGGCGCGAACCCACGACCGAATACCCAGTGTTCAGAGAAAGGAACCAGCTTGGCCACTGGTGGACCCTGTATCCACTAAACCAGAAATTGAACACAGCCAACTCTCGTGGCCAATAACAGAAATAATAAACGACGTACTTTGATAATACTGCATATCTTGTCTACATGAAAGTTATCGCTTATCGAGACAGTTAAAAATGCAGTCATAGTTGAATTTTCATTGTCTCTTTCCACCATTTAATTTGAAAACGTTAAGTAATCGAATAGTATTGTTAGCAATTGGAAAAAATTACGTCACCAAAATATCACTCTCCAATCGGTGTTGTATACCGGAGCGGAAAAGTGGAAATACTTTCGACTCTTTACCACCCGGAATCCGTTCGATCCGAAATTTGTAGATTGAAAATGATTTTTCTATTTTCTGGGATATTTTCTGTGGAAAGTAAGCTTAAATATCAATATTCTTGAAAGTATTCGAATAGTTGTAGCCGCTTAAATAAGTATAAATATAAAAGCTGATAAATTTGAATAGGTTACTTCATAGTATTTATTAAAAAGTTATTAATTAAATGACGTTGCTGAAAACGAAAGCGATCTTATTTTCTAGGAAATATATATGTTTATATTTTTTTATAAATATTTGTAGATATATTGTTTGAGGTACGATTTTATCTGCCGAATACATAATATAATAGATGTGTTTAAAACTTTTGAGTTGATGATAATGCATAAATTAACATTTTCCTTTAGTTCCTTTAGTTTGGAGTTATTTGCTTCCGTCGGGTTGTTTAACAAACTTAAATCTTAATTAAGGTATTTCAGATTACAGTTACGTATTTGTATTATATGAGAATTTAATGATTTCTATTGAATAAATTATATTTGAGAGATGATTTATGCAATGATGAAGACGGCTATATCAATAATAAAGAGAATCATAAATGAAGTTGCTAAAAACTATAATTTATATTTAGATGATCCGTATTTTTGGAAATTTGTATTTAATGAAAATATTACTTAATTTGTTTAATAATTTTTTGTTAGAATTAATGAATTCGATTTAGAATAGTACTTTAAAATTTTCTCAATTAAATAAAACAAAACTAAATATTCATTTTGCAATTTCAAAAAAAGTCAATCATAAAAACAATACTTGTGATTTATAAACTGGTTTAAAACTTTTGAGGATTCTTAATGTCAAATTTTGAATAATATAGATACTTAAATTGAGTTAAGCCAATTGATAGTTTTAAAGGATTATTTAGAACGGGATATAATATATAAAAAGTAAAATACTTAACTAATTATTAGTAATATGGACCAAATTATAAATACAGTATATACAAGGTTCCTATGCACCTGGAAAGTCAGAAATTTTCATTAGTGTTCGGAAAAAGTCAGGGAATTTGCCTCCTTGGCTGCCTTGTTGATTTTTTTGCTCACAATATGCTTGACTAAATGTAGCCGTCTGCAGGCAGCAAGAAGTAATGTGGTGCAATACAACTTATGATGTATTGCACCACATTACTTCTTGCTGCCTGCAGACGGCTACATTTAGTCAAGCATATTGTGAGCAAAAAAATCAACAAGGCAGCCAAGGAGGCAAATTCCCTGACTTTTTCCGAACACTAATGAAAATTTCTGACTTTCCAGGTGCATAGGAACCTTGTATATACTGTATTTATAATTTGGTCCATATTACTAATAATTAGTTAAGTATTTTACTTTTTATATATTATATCCCGTTCTAAATAATCCTTTAAAACTATCAATTGGCTTAACTCAATTTAAGTATCTATATTATTCAAAATTTGACATTAAGAATCCTCAAAAGTTTTAAACCAGTTTATAAATCACAAGTATTGTTTTTATGATTGACTTTTTTTGAAATNTTTAGGTTTTTTTTCTTTAATTTAAAGTTACAATATGTAAAATTAACAATACGGTTACTCACTAAATTTCTTAAATGAGGGGTACAATCTAGAGATATGACATGTCACGGGGTACAATCTAGAGATATGACATGTCACGGGGTACGCTAATGAAAAAAGGTTGGGAACCACTGCTGTAAGGGATGTGAGGGTCAGGGAATTTGAACAAAATTGGTCAGGGTAAGTCATGAAATTTAAAACAAAAATTTGAATAGGAACCCTGTATATAAATTGGCTACTTTCATATAAAACAGTAAGTCGAATTTAGTTGTATTACTCACCAATCACCAGCTCCAGAAACACTTACAACAGAAAGACATTTTTCTGAAGGAAAATGAGTAACGCTTGGTTTAACCTGTAAAATGTTACTCACAAGTTGGATTATTTGACTTATAAAAAGTTGAAAAAGTAACCATAATAATTAATTTTAGAATACCTTAGATTTTCTAATATTCCAAATAGGAAATTTTTCATCATTAGTGGATTTTGTTACAACAAGAACACCTTTGGCTCCCAAAGTCACTATTAAAGTGTGTAGATAATGCATAAGAGGTTCACTTAGTTGAATGCAACATTTTATTATTGTTTCCAACGGGATTCTTTCAATTTCTGGAATATAATAGCGTTGTTTTTATAAATAAATTTTAATAATACTGTATGTGTAAATAAAATAAATAAACATATATATTATATATTTTTATTATAAGCAATAGAATCATTTAAAAGTATAAAAAAGGGAATGACGGGATATAAAATATTTCAAATTATTATTTTAAAGAATAAACGTGATTGAATAAAATAAGTATAATGTCTGAGAAAAGAAAGTGCATTACTAGTTTATATTTGATCATATAATCTACAGAAAACACACACACACGACCGTGGGCATCCGCAAAGGGAGCGAACGAAGCACTTGTCAGGGATCGAATAAAAAATTCCACAAATTATAATCGAAAGTGATTGAGATACTGCATGTAACCTTACAGCGTCGACCATCGCTTTGTCTTCTTAAAATTTTATTACTGTATTCTATAATCTTGTGAAAAGCTCAAAAAATAATTAAATAAAAATTTATTGATGTAATTATTTGTTTCCAAGCTTTGCTCCCTTAGAAAATTTTCTGGGGGGGAAAATTTCTCATACTCATGACACATGCACGACACAATGCATCTATTCTTTGGAATAGATTTGATATAAGTTTAAAATTTAGGGATTATACTAGTCGACTTTTTCAATTTAAATTCAATATTCAAAAAGTATTAAAAATCAAAACCCGAACTTTCTCTGATATCAGGCATATTCCTAAATGGGATTTATTCAGATACTTGTACCAAAGTTAGGAAAATTGCTTCTTTTCTAAAAACATTTGAATTTATAAATTTTTAATACGATTTTATTAAAGAAATATTTACCGTACAATTTCATATTTGTTAATGTAAATTATTTACATTAAATTATATTAATGAATTATTTAAGTTAGCCTTAATTGTTAATTATAATTCGTGCTTTAAAGTTAAAAGTCAGATGTGTTAGTTCTTTAACATAGATGTCATATAATATTATACATGGGCGTCCGCGGAAAAATTTTCAGGGGGCAAAACTTGGAGACAAGTAATTAATAAGATCAATAAATTTTTATTTAATTCTTTTAATTTTTGGGTTTTTTTTCACACGTAGATAATAACGTTAGAATACAGCACTGCATCAAAGCGTCCCATTCCCATGGTCGAGGGTGTAAAGTCACTCAATCACTTTATCATTATAATTTTCGGAATTTTTCACTCGATTCCAGAGAGTGCCCCGTTTGCCCCCTGGAAGTCCATGACACCACGTACCGTCAAGGATAATTTACTTTCCTATATGTTATACCTTTCATCAGTGGCAAATCCAGAAAAATGAAAATAGGAACGTTATATAGCCTGTACATACATGTACTGTATACATATAATAATAATATTACAAATAATTATATTGCTACCTTGCTCCTAAAAATGTTGATTTCGCTATAGATTAATTACCAATTTTAAAAATTCAAACTCAAGTTAATTAAACTGAAAGAAGATTATTCATTGAGTACGACACGTAAAATAATTAATAAATATTTCTTTAAAATTAAATTAATTAGGTCTCTATGACTCATATACTTTATACATAAAATACACACAGAAGCAGATATATATTATGAAAGATTCGCTTTAATAATTAAAATGTTACATAAAATTTAATAACAAACAAAAATTAATGATCTATATCAGGGTTTCACTACGGAGTCGTATTGACCTCTTAAAGGTCGAAGAAAGTCTGAGAGGAGGTCAATGAAACTTTGCAAATATGAAAAATGTATTAAAAATTATGTACGAGTGCTGTTGAACATATACGAGGTATATAATATATATAATGTTGAAGGAAATTGATGAAAAATTTTTTCAAAGGCGTCGATACACGGGAAAAGTTAAAAATACCTGATTTATATTTTTAAAATTGATCTATTCCTTAAATTAATTTTTGTAAGTCTTTAAATTGTAAATTATTTCTTTAGTACGAATTAATATGAACGATAATTTATTTAATTTTATAAAATATCAGATTGCTTCCGAGATCATTTTTTCGAAATAAAATCACGTGTTTTGAATTATAAACCTATTGACTATTAATAAAACAATTGATGCAAAACAAAATTTTCGCTAGAATTATAATAATGGAAAGTAATTACAAAATCATATCTTTTTTGTTTTCTGTTTATTATTATTTAAAATTTAATTACGAAATAAATTTTAGATTTCATTAACCAAATAAATTTTGTGAGATAAATATAATAAAAATACAAAAACAATAGTAATTCTAAGTTTGAGAGATGCTTATTTTGGTTCATAACTATTTGAAAGTTATGAACCAACGTTTTTTTTAAGCTACGAAGCTTCCGAAATTTCGCTTCATCAGTTACTGTAATTATAAATTCTAAAGTAGGGGGAGATCAGAGTAAGATCGGCATGTTAAGCTTTTCTTAAATTTTGTGTAATAAATACTGCTGTAAACTGAAAAAAACCTTTTGCATATTGTCTATTGGAATGTTACCTTACTATACATCTGGTTAAAATCAGTTTGGACATAAAAATAATTAAAATAATTACAACTTTACAAGAAGAGAGAAATTGACGAAGTTGCCCCGGGTATAGGGGCAAGATCGGCAACTTCTCTCTTTTTGTAAAGTTGTAATTATTTTAATTATTTTTATTAAAGTTGCCCCTGCTATAGGGGCAACAGTAATGGGGTAAGATAGGCACGTATATAAAATTATGTTATTAACAATGTATAAGTTGGAATTCACTATTAAAACAAAGAAATACAAATCCAACACCCATTTAATATTATTACAACGAAATGCAAGTTCAAAGACATATATACATGAATAACAAATGCAAACATGTTTTCATTTATCATCTGTTTGATTTTTATCCTTTGCTTCTAATGTGGCTTTATGTTGCCGATCTTACCCCGCTAGTCATGATTTCGAAACATTAAGTACAACCCTGAGAACAGAATGCCAAGCCACGATCTGGCCACGTGAATAAGTTGAAGTTACATCCTTCTAACAGGAAAAGTAACTTTCGTTATCATGGAATTATAACAAAACCTGCCAATTCAATATAAATGGAAAAAAAAATATTATATGGAATTCAACTAAAATGAAAATTTGCTTGATAATTCAACTACGCTTGTTGGAGAACAATAAAAACACTACTCTCAACAAGCCACCAATGAAACTCAACTGCCTAACCTATAATCAAAGTTTTTTTTTAATTTGTTTTTTAAAAAAAGCGCTTGACAAACTTGCCCCGCATGCCGAAGTTGCCCCGATCTCCCCTAAATAAAGAAATAGTAATAATATTTACATTTGTTTTACATTTTAATAAATTTTTCTCCTCTCTTTATCATAATAGTTTGTAAATTCATTTACATTGAGATTATTTTAAATTCTTTCTCAAACAATGCTGCGCGTATTTCTTCAGGATACCCAATAAATAAAAAAATAAGCAACTTGCAATTTGTGATTTTAATGCTTTTCACATGAAAAGCATTAAAAGATTGGTATGTAAAGTTTACTTCCTTTAAGGTCACCAACATAAATTAAAGTTTTTAAAGCATCTGTATTCTTTTCCGAAGATAATTTATGAGCTTGTTTCTTGAAACTGTAGAACAAATTGCACTTTTTCTGCAAAGAAACGTCATTTTGATACCGATGACTACAACGCCGTCTGGACCGTTCACATGCTTGTTAGTGCAAAATTACAGCAAAAAGCCCCACAAATCAACATAAATTATGCCACAAACCGCATGTTTCTAAATAGCATAGTTTTTGTACCATAAATGTTTGTAATCAAGGAAAGAATTTATAATCATCCCGTATATTCCCTAAGTATACTTTATTTAAATATTTTAAAAATAATATAAACATAATAGTAAAATCAATTAAAGCTTAAACTTTGACATTTGTCACATTTAATTATATAAAAATTGTAAACTAAAAATCTTAAAAGTTTGTATATTGGCAAATAATAGAGTTAGGCCTACTTCGTCGTTTTAAGAACGTTATTCATCAATATGTAAACTTATTTTTTAATTCTGCAATCATTGTATAATTTTAATATACTGTAGTTTAAACAGTTAAGTGCTTTTTATGTTATTTATTTTCACAAAATACCTTCTGATTCTAGCGATTTTAAATCCTTTCCAGAAACACAACTGTACATCATTCTCAACTCGTTATAATTGGGAGATGAATAGGTTAAAGACTTCCAATCTTCTGTCAAAAAAGGTTTTTTAGCTTGAACAATATCAGTTGGTTCGTACCAAACTAATTTATAAAAAAGAAAAATATATAATTATATATTAGAAACCACTTCATTTAATCTACATGCAAAGAATACTTAATTAAAATTGTTATTTACCGGTAAAACTAAGTTAAAATATTTCAATTTTAAATTAAAATTTAATATATTTTTATGTTTGTTTACTTCTCTGTCATATGAATTTATTATTAAATTGGAATATTTAGATTCTATATATTTTAATATTTAATAAGTAAACCTAATTCAAATAATAAAAAATATAATAAATAAATAAATACGAAGTAATAAATTTTACACTATATTAACTTACGTTAATACTTCAATAAAATCAATAATAATTTAATTTTTCGTATATTGAAAATTATATTTTATAATAATTATTTTTATTAATTAGCAAGTATAACTATTTAGAAATATTAATTCTCAACTTTTAAATAAATACAGCTTAACTTTTAAAATATTCGGATTCTTATAAATTTTTAATAAAAATAAATGTCGGTCTACCGCTCTGAGGAACCGGAATAAAATTTGGGCGAACAATCTTAGGTCAGGAATTTTTCATGAGTGGCCAGGCCCCGTCTTTCACAACCCACTCATCCAATTGTTCTTAATCATGTCCATTGTGGGCCTGGACGAATCCACAATGGACATGATTAAGAAAAGACCCTCTTAGTGTCCACAAGGCGGAAATAGTAAAAAAGTCTTAACCGTGAAAATTCTTGAGTCATTTTTATTGAATATTAATAGACATATTTTAATTGTTCTCTACTAAATATAATCTTCCGCATAGAGAGTGTTTGTTTCGACAAATGCATTGGAGTGTGAGTTATGTTCTACTTTCCAATCATCTCAGTCACCGGTCGAAGTTGTGATAAAAATTCAATTTAAACAAATTGATTCCTAAATAATAACTGTAAAAAGTTATTTTATAATAAAGATTTTAAATTAAAATGAAATTATACAAATAAAAAGTAAAATACAAAATAATTTTGACTTATAGAAGAAGAAAAAGAAGGGGAATACATCGCATCCAATGATGACCTATTGTAAATTTTTCATTACGAAGCACAAATATACTTAAAAAGAACAAAGTAAATTAAATTTTTTCTCGATAAAATACTTTATTTTCCTATTGTTTTATTAATAAATATTCAACCTCAGATGAATAAAAAAAAAATGATAAAGTAAATTTCAAAATTTATTTATAAAATATCAATTAAAATATTTACAATTATTTTATGTTGTGTAATACTAAACTACTTTCTTGTTTAAATTTTAATTGCGCGTGTACTTAAATAATTCTAATTAAATTTTTTAATATAATTCATATTCTTAATTTCTTGATTTATAAACATTTTATTAAATCTTAAACAAATAGTATAAAATGGAAAAAATGTTATAAACAATCATTAACGAATTTGAATGATCGCAAATAGCTTGTGTTGCAATTTTTATTTCCGGTGACAATATATTATAAATATTACGTCAAAATGGCGACCTTGTATAGTTTGCCTCATATAGCAATTAACCTAAGTGAAAAAAATAAAAAATAAAATAATATACGGCACACGAAGGACACGAAAACAAAGTTAGCGACTCGGTCATCTAAAGGACGAAACCTACTTCTGATTTAGGATGGGGAGGAGAAACTTCGATTGTTTCTTTATTGCAAATCACTGTGGACAGTCAACCAACACGTCATTTCCTATTATGTGACACAACTTCTACATAATATTTCAATCGTATACTCGAATTATTCATTTGAAAATGGCTTTCCGAGCGCTTTACGTCGCCGTCTTTTTCGTCTTTCTTACTCTAATTGTTGTGATTATATCATTTTCCACCCCGTCCTGGCTAGTTGCCGATGGAAAAAATCCTCATCAAAATTTTCACAAAATAGGATTATGGGAAATATGTTATAATCGGGAATACGATGACTATAACGATTATCAATATCATAGAAGATATAGACACGACTACGGACCATATTCTTGCAAATGGATCTTCGATGAAGAATATTACTTTTTCAGAGATTTTATTTTGCAACGTAAGTAATTTCATTAATTATAGATTTATTTCTTAATATTTTATTAATTAAAATATTTTTAAATGCATAAAACAATAATTATAAATGCAGTGAAATCTGGCTAACTGGACTCGATTTAACCAGATTCTACTGTATTTTGAAATAAAACAAAATTCTTCAATAATATAAATAATACAAAATAATATATTTTGAATTATTTTAAAATTGACACAATTAGCTGTCGCATAATGTAATGTAAATATAAAGTTATATGAAGTCATAAGTATTACCATACTGTATATTTTTATATGGTGAACTTATTTGTAGTATTGAAAAGTGACTATTATCAAGTGGAACTCACAAAAATAACAATAAAAAAAAAGGAAGTATAACAACAATCAGAATGTCTTGATAGCTTATAAAATAAATTACTGCAGATTTTAATGATTCATATTATGTTTCCTACCACATATTTAATTTTAGAAATCTATAATTCAATCTACGGAAGTGGTTATAATCCTTTTGATTTCAATCTTAGATAAATTATCGTAGAGGAAATAACATACAAGCTACGTAAATTTTCCTTGTGGTTAAACGACAATAATAAACAATTAAGCTATAAATTTCAATTAAATATTTTAATTACGTTAATTCATAATATTAATTTAAATTAATTAATATTTATTTATACTGTATATAGATTCATAGACGTATAGACTTTATACGCTTATGCGTAGAGTTTGCTTATATGCGTAATGTATGTACTGTACATGAATGTCCTATATATAAATATTAATTATATTGTTTACAATTTCAGCATTTTTTGTAGCGGTACAAGTATTTTTCACTTTAGGATTAATAGCTTTATTAGTAGCGGGGCTATTGACGATTATTTTGTTGGTATGTATGCGTAGTGGGAAACAAGGGATGGTTATTGGAATTGGCATTATAACACTATTTGCAGGTAAGTCTTAATCAGTCAAAACTGTTATTAAAATAAAATAAAGTTTATATTTTTATATAGTTTAATTAATTATTATTAATTTTTTTTCTTTTTCTTTACATTTTTCACACTAAAGTAAATATTATAAATATAAAAGCTATCAATTTATTCATTTATACGTTTTATATAATAATTTTCATACGGCACAAATTTGATTAGTTTTAAATAATAATAAATAAAATAAATATTAAGAATAGATTTAAATATCATTAAGAAAACAACAATTCATCGGAATGTAATAGAAAGAAAGGAAATTACGTCATGTTAATGAAGGAAATCTTGTAGGTACTTAATCGTGTCGCAAAAAAATTTAGACCGGGTTAAAACTATCTTGAGACTTGTGTTACTTCACAGAAGAAACACAAGTCTCAAGACACTTTGTGTTTCTTCACCACAAGATATCTTGTGTCTCTTCTGTGAAGAAACACAAGAAATTTGTTTTGTGTTGTGTTATCTTGTGTCACAAAAGAAACAGAAGATAGTTTTAACGCGGTCAGTGCCATACAATTATAGAATTAATATAATAATTTATTTTAGACTTCAATTAGAATAAATTAAATATTTAGGTAAACAGCTCAGAATAAATTCCATTACCATTATTGAACCTTTATTATTTTTCTTTGTTTTATAATAGTTCTATATATTTCTTGGAGATTATAAACAAACATATGCTAGAAATGGATCAATACTTTTTGAGTAAATTTACGATGAACTCAAATACCATAATTATTCAATATAAATGGAAATTTATTCTAATACAATTCAAACTATTTTGATCGTATTAAGTATACATATTTATTACAGACCTAATTATATTGACGTATGTCACAGTATTAGGCTATACAACAAAATAGAGCTTATTACGTCAACCTAATTACATTTATCAGCGATAGTTAATTGTTTTTTTGAGTAAAATTTATTTTATATTATTCATCTTTTACTAATTGTAAATTTTTCTGGATAGATACTAAATTAAATTTGCAGTCTACTTAATCAGCAATTAATTCGAATTTTCTCAATTAAGGATGCCCACTAAAAGTGTAAAGGATGCAAATGAAAATTTTTCTACTGTTTAAAACATCTTTTAATCAATCATATATATATAAAATTTTTATATAAAATTTAATTTGACTTTTATTATAATTTATAATAAGACATGTCAAGTAATTTACAAGACACGAATACCTAGTACGAAGCCAAAAAGTTTATGTAAACAAATATTCTTAATATGTTTAAAAAAGTTTTGTATGAATTAATTTAGTAATATATCAGCAAGTAGTTGCAAGATATCGAATTATACAATTTAATTGATTCCAAAAATATATAAATAGGACTATATAAATTCATTTATTTTCATCATTCATCCCTTTACAAGTAAAAATGACATTAATTTATGTATATTTTTATACGTACAGAATGTCTTTCATATTTATATACATACACTACAATAAACATTGACTAGAGTTGAGTTAAAAATTAAGCCAAATTATTTAAGTAACTTATTGTATTTTTCAGTAAAATTACAGGTATCCTTGCTTAACGCGACTTTGCTTAAAGCGGGATTTAATTAACGCGCGAAATTAATTGCGACAATCCCTTTATATATGCGGCAGAAGTTTTAATTTACGCGACTTTACCAGTTGTCTTTATTTAATTAATATAGAAACCGTATTTTGATTAACGCGATTTTGATATACTCGGTAGGATCGAGGGATTAATTAATCGCGTTAATCAAGGGATACCTGTAGTTTTTAATCCTGTTTTTGTGTTAACAATTCATGAATGAGAGTAAGTTACTAATTAAATTTTATAGCTCATTAATTCAATAAAAAGTAAGCTATTCTTAATGAAACGTGAATATAATGAAATGATGAGGATAAAAAATTTCCACACAAGAGTGATACGTCATGTTTACTTCAAACGTCAATACAGTAGAGCATTATCCGACCCCGATTAACCACCACCTCGGTTAACCGACCGCGTTCTAGTCGGCAAATTCAAATGTCCGCTAGTGATGTGGCGCTACAATATCTGGCTATGTCTTGGCTACTTTAATATTATTTTTACGTGTTTTAGCTGGCAACACTGGATAGACCATGAAAGGGAGCCAGTATTTAAACGAGGCTTAATTTTCTAATTTTTAACGATACAATAGCGACGATTATTATTTAAAAGAAAATTTGATAAGCTTAACATGGAGGAAAATTCAACGCGAAGTAGGTTAATAGCGATATACTAATATACTAATTACATGGGATATAATAATATACTACACTAATAATGGATTTTTTCATACTTTTCGGTTATCCGACTTTTCAATTATCCGACCAACCCCAGTCCCCAATTGAGTCGGATAATCGATGCTCTACTGTATANAGTCGGTCGCGGGTTCTAGCGTTAAATTTAAGTAGTATAATACAGTAATTAGATAAATCGTGCTAAGACAGATTTTATCTACCATATTTTTCAGCGTATAAGATGCACCCCATTTTTAGAGAGTATCTTTCAGGTTAAAAGTGCGTCTTATATGTCGGCAAATATGGTAATTTATGGAAGAACTATAGAGTTCTATAACGGTTATAGAAATATTCTCTATATATACTGTATATCTATTTGTTTATATACTCTATATATCAAATTCCAAATGCTTTTACAGTTAAACCTCCGAACAACGGTCACTGATGGGAAGATTAATTAATTTAATTAATTAATGGCCGTGGCTTAGAGGTTATCGTACATACACGTGTTTAAAAAAATTCCCGAGAAAGTGGACGCTGTTTACAGGTGGCCGATATTGGAGTTTCGATTCTATTTAACATTGTTTTTTCTATCGTTGAATTAAATGCATTAATTAAAATTGTTGACCTAATTTTTTTCTTTACATTGCATAACTATTTCTCTCGCGCAATACTTTTAAGTTATTTATTATAATTTATAAGCATATAATAATGCTATTATTATATTATTGTTTACTATAATTATATCTTTTTTTCATTCTTTTAATTATTTAATCGAACGAATGCACTTCATTTGGTAGTTCTTTAAATTATGTTAATGGCGGCAGTAAGAAGGTCATTCGGCCGCTAATTTTTTTTTTCTCTCTCTCTCTCTCTAATGATACCAATCCTAATAATACCAATCAGTAAAAAGGAAAAATATATTAAAAAATCTTATAAGATTTTTAAATATTTTTTATTATATAGGCCTATATTATCAATAGAATATTATTATTTTTTATACTTGCCTATAATTAAAGAAATTGTTTAATTATAAGTCGAGTCCATACTGTACATTTGCGAATATGTTTTAATCAGGAAAACCCTAAAAATTGTTTTCACTAATGGTTTTTTTCCTAATTATACATTAATTTACGAGTGCTCAGTAAATAAATTAATTAAATCAACGGTTATTTTTAATGTCACATCTTTTTTCAGAATAATTTTAAGATTTTAATTGAGATCGTAAACAGAAGCATCGTATTAAGGCCCACTTACGGAATGTCGTTATAAGTTTATTTGGTCTACATAATATAATACAAAAATATTATATTAATATATATAAATTTGTAGACGAAGCCGTCGTAATTTTAGAATTGGGCCCAAGGTAGAGCGGGGCTCTTTGTTTAACAAATGAAATACGTAGAATGTCTATTTATTACTAAATAGCGGTATTAAAAATTTACGGTTTGCTATTAAAAATAACATGAATTCTTGGGATAGGAACCACTACGGAACCCCTAAGGCCTACATTTTTTCGAGTCCAGAGAAAAAATCCCCAGTTCCCCTTTAGAATGTCTCCAGATGTGAAAGGGGACGAATTATAAAGGCACTTTTACTCTAATTGAGTGTTTCTTCTAAATTTGCGAATTTTTAAATAAAAATTATGAAAAAAGGATATTTTAAAGAAACGGTTTCTATCCATATAAATGCACTAAAAGGTAAAAAATAATTTTTTTAGCTTTTATAATATTTTTGGTATCATGCAATCAAAAATAAAAGCATGGGGCGCTCATGTTTAAAAATATTCTTAGTTAATAGTTAACTTTCTAACAATTTTTATGGATTTTCTACGAGCGTTTGATGTTTTTATTTTTGGTGGAATAACAACAAGATTACTGTGAAAGCTGGAAATGAATTAGTTTTTACTTTTTAGTGTATTTTTGTGAATAAATGCACTAAAAAGTAAAAACTAAATTAAAAATTTTTTTTAAATTTTTTAATTTAGTTTTTTTAAAATAATTTTTTTTTAGTTTTATATAGTTTTATTTATACAGTAAGTCTAAAAAAGGGCATAACTACGTGTAGAGTCGCTGTTATCAGATTTGATATACAAATTTCAATTTTTCGCCAATTTTTTTGATAATTGCTAAAATTGTTTGCAAAGTTCAAAAAAGTGTATTGTCATCGGGAATACGAGGGCTATTTCTTTTTCAACCTCCGATGGTCCATAAAACAAAGACAAGTGTAAATAACAAAATGAATTTATTACCAAAAGTTAGGTACAAACATAGTTACTTTTCGACATAATCACTGTGAAGATTGAGGCATTTGTCATATCTGTGGACGAGCTTTTCCATCCCCTTGTCATAGAATGTTGACTTGAGATGGGCCCTAACGTTGTTTTGAAGATCGTCATTAGTCTCGAACCTCTGCCCTTCTAGCCATTTTTTCAGTTCAGGAAAGAGGTGGAAGTCTTCACACATTAAAAAGTTTCAAGCTAGGTGGAAGTCTTCACCATCTTTAAACACCCAGTGTATATCCCCGATTTAGCACCGAGCGACTTCCACTCTTTCCTGAACAGAAAAAGTGGCTAGAAGGGCAGAGGTTCGAGACTAATGACAATCTTCAAAACAACGTTAGGGCCCATCTCAAGTCAACATTCTATGACAAGGGGATGGAAAAGCTCGTCCACAGATATGACAAATGCCTCAATCTTCACAGTGATTATGTCGAAAAGTAACT